GAGTATCTGGAAAGCCACTCGGGCCTTACTGGCACGCGAAGTAACTTCCTCAGTGACGTGACCACCAAAGGTGACACAGCTACCAAGGCAAGTGAAACGATCCGCCACTTCCAGTCGCTGTTCGGTGATAGCTAGAACCGGAAGTGTGTCCGTCCAGTCCCGCAGCAGTATAGTGCGCTTTGAAGGCGCAGAGTACAAACCGAAGCGTGCAGCGCTGCTCGTCAGTCGATCCAGTAGTGGTTGCATAGCCATTGCTTCAGACCCAAGGAGAACTATGTCGTCCACATACTCCAGATTTGTCAGTCCGTCGTCTGGCAGAACTTCCACTCCGGTAGAGTCTGTAAGAACGGAGTCACGATGATCATTTCGATAACAAAGTTGAAGAGGAAAGGAGATAGAGAATAACGCTGGCGAATCCCACTTGTTGTGGGGAACTCAGGTGACAGTTTACCGTAAACCCTTACACGGCCTCGGAAAACACAGTAGAGAGACAGCATAACAGAAAGTAAATCAGCCGGCACGCTTTTCATGGATAGGCAGTGCCACAAGCTGGCGCGGTCAACAGAGTAGAAAGCGGCTTTCAAGTCAAGGAAGACCACCATAGCCGGTCGTCTGTATGTGCGTCTCTGGTCTAGGTGGTCAACTGTTGCGATACAATAACCACTAACGCAATTCGGAGCGAGCACTGAACAGACAATGAAATCACGGCACAGAATCCCAAATGCAACACAAATGCTGCACCAACCTGGACGGGAAGAATAAGACCTCAAACACGAGATCTATTCACAAGCCAAGACAGAACACCAAAAGTGAAAACTCATGATGGGTTAGGTCACTCAACGGCCTTTCCAAATCAGCCAATCACAAGGCTCGTTTGAAGCGGGAACAGATAGGGCGCATCGTTTAAAAAACAAAAATGGTAGCTAACTTGAAGTCCATGGTTTTGGCTGATTATAGTGTAGTTCTTGGGAAACGAGCTTTTCTCAACATTAACACAACCACGACCAAGGCGGAAGTCAGCCTGGCTTTCGGTGATTCAATTCCCACATAGTCATCGGAGAATAATACCGCAACGGAAACAAGGCTAATGCCTCGATAATTTATGTACAAAGATGATCCTTCTTGAAGATAGGCATGATAGTTGACAGTCGCCAGTTTGAAGGCACCTGTTCACTGCTCCAAATCGTGTTAAATAGAAGTCAATCCAGTCAACAAGGAGTCACCGCCATCTTTCAGCAAAAGTGGAGGAATGTCGTCGGGTCTAGAAGCCTTGTTTCGTTATAATAAGGAAAGCTCAAGACGAATCTATTCGAAAGTGGAAGGTGTGACATGCACTTCCCACATCGGCTCAGACGACTCGACAAGCGACAGTGTCGCAGAAGGTCTGTTGAAGTGCACTCCGGAATGTTCCGCCCGACGGGTTAGTCGACGACTCCGAAAATTAACCAATTATCCGCCATTATCAGGTATTGTCAGCTAGTAGCCCAAAGGTAAAGAGCAGGTTAAGTAATCTGACGGCGCGAATTCAAGCCTGCGTAGGAAGTGGGCGACCCACGCAATATCCTAATGCCACGTGCGACCAGTGCTGAATGCGTGGCAGAAAAGCAGCGGTACTGCGTACCGGCCTACTGCTGATGTCCTTTCAGCTGTTGTACCGCTAACTGATGGTTTTCTCGGACCCGTGTTCCGAATGAGCTGGAGTAGCACTAGGCTGCTCCCGACAGCACCGACTTTCTCCATCTCACGGGCCCTTGCCATCTACCAACGTTCCCGGTAAACTCGAAGACTCCACGTCAAACATCGTTTCAAAAAGCTACGGACACGCTGAAACAGTGCCAATCGGAATCTGTTTCTCTGCCTCGACCAACCTGATCGATGCCTCAGAGACCCATTCACAGTTACGACATCTAAAGTTGGGTGCACAATAAGTGTTAAAGGCATTCTTCATGGCACATTTGAGACCACCCGAGTCAGCGTTCGGCTCACCAACCTCATTATTCATCGACAATCGGTGGGCCAATTAGTCATGGTATTGTTGTTGTTCTGAGTTCGTTACAGGTAAGATTAGAAGATAGACGCTTCCTTGAAGCGGAAGAATGATCAGCAAGCGTGCGCGCACTAGAGCATGGTTGGGACCCAGGCACATGTTCTAAATTGACCGACAGTCTTAGACTGATGTGCGCCATCTACAGCTGATGGCAACATAGTCACTGTTGGTCCAAATCATTGAGGAATTCGGTGGGCATCAGGCGATGCGGTGGGAACATTTGTACAGGAAAGCAGTATTGCTTAGGTAAAGTTGTGGTCGGCGCATGGTTGCAGGAATCGATTACCATTTTCGATTCGGCGTGCGTCGACTCCGAAGCGGCCTCCCAGGTGTTGTTCAGAGTCTGGAAGACGGCCCACTTGGGTATTTAGGTCACCAGTAACAAGCACGATGTCAGTATTCTACGCATGCGAAGAAGAGATGAGAGCAGTTGATAGAAATCATCTTTGATACACTCTGAACTGCATTCAATAGGTGCATAAATTGAGACGATGAAAAGGCAACTTGCCTTCATACGGTGCTTATTATCTTCAATAGGGGCTAGAAGTCGAACTGCAGACATGCGGCTGTTCATCAGTATGTATCCGAGTAGATCGTTTTCAGTTTAAAGCACTGAGTTCCCTTTATCATTCTACATAAGACAATGAGAAGACTAATATCTGTTGTTAGTATGCGAGTGAGCAGATAACATGAAATGGTTCCATCTCGCAATACCAGTCTTCTTATTGTCTTATTTAGAATATTTTCAGTTTGTTTGCTAAGGGCAACACCGCAAATGCCACCGACACTGTCGCAAAAGACGCGAAGAGTGTAGCCATTGTCGTCAGACT